GGGGTGGGGGGGGAAAAACCACAAATTTGAAACTGTATCAAACCCCCACCACCTGGACCAAAACAGGAGGAAACCAAAACGGTAACAAAGTAAGTCTTTCCCGGGGGGCAAAGCCAACCCCCACCCCGGAACGGCCCAAGCCACCCCCGGAAAAAGGGGGGGGGACCGCCGGTACCAGGAAGAAAAAAAAACCCCCCCCCGGCCCAAAACCCCCCGCAAATTCGGCCCCCTTGTTTTTTTGCTTCCTTCGCCCCCAAAATGCCCCCCCTGAGGCCCTTGACCCCTGGGGGTTCCCGCACCCCGGGGGTGTGGGGGGAGGATACTTTCCCCCCCAGGTATTCCGGGTACCCCCCCGGGGTGGGGATCCCCTTGCAAAATTCCGCGGGGGATTCTTAAACATAACCTTGGGGGGGGGGGAGGGGGTTTGGTGACAGGGGGGGGGGGGGGGGGGGTACTCATGTAAACGCATGCCGTAGTCGTTGCACCATAGACTTTCGAATCCCAACAATGCCGGGACGGAGCTGTGTGCCGGGGTTACGCCGGCCCAGGTTGCGGCTCGCAAGGATGAACCAGAAGTTGACCTAGCATCCCTACGACGCCGGGACGGAGCGATATGACGGATTTTCGCCGGCCCAGGCTCGGAAAAGAGGACGGAGCTGGGCGCACCGCACTCCATTTTCACGCGACAGACACACCTACCGCAACCCGTAAAGTGACTTTCTCTCTCAAAGCGACACGGTGCCAATCACTGCTGCGCTCGCAAGGTTAAGGTTTGGCGTTTTTCATTCGCCGAGGGTTCCGCAGTTTCGCCATCATTTTCACGAGTACCCTCCTCCTGCTGCTGCAGGGCCTCTGCGTGGGAGAGGGTGTGTGCGTCAGAGTAGAAACTCACAACGAGAGTGAACAGCACTCACTAGAGATGACATGCGAATGAAAACAGATCTTACAAGAGGAAGAAAAAAACAAAACGCGTACATGGACGCACATTTTTTCTGGACAGAATTGTGCCCAGGATACACAGTCTAGATGGGGCAAAACAACAAAAAACAGATGGGTATTCTGTGCGTTGTATCGTAAGAAAAAAAAAGAAGGAATCGGATGGATGTTCTTATTAGCACCTCTGATAGCTTGTTCTTCCCGACGTTGACGCCTAGCAACCCGGCGCGGCCGTTCATGGCGGAGGCCTGACGCTTCTTTAGGCGTTGCTGCACCACCCGCAGGCCGTCGCTGTTGAAGCCGCAGCGGTTGATCACGCCCTCGTCTTCCTCCAGCCTGCATTCAGTACATGCGAGAATGCAACAGCATACGTTACTTCATAACACAGTGTCGCAACAAAAATCAACTTGTACCGTTAACTCCCTGTCGTCGAAGGCAGGAGGAATCACAACAATCTACGAAGAATGAGAGACAAAAGCATAGAGAAGCAAATCACTCTTGCAGCTTTGTTGTGGTCCCAAAAAACAAATCCGGCAGAAAAAATGGGGTTGGTGGAGACTCAAGAACTGTACAGAATGATTGCTGGGTGAAAAGCGTAGTGCGCTCGGGATTACACAAGCTTGGGTCACTGTGGGAAAGGTCCGTTGGGGCGACCCGACGTGACGCGTACACAACAAACATCCCTCTATTGTGCAAGTTGAACTCAAAGGGGCTTAGAGGAATCTGATCATTCCGCGGAGGAATGCAAAGCAGGCTCTCATGCGCGCGAACGCTCTTCGTTGCTCACGGGGTCCGGGTGATAGCGCCAACAGTAAATATCAGTTTGTCGATCTCGAAATAATAGAAACGGACCACGAGAGCTAGCTTACAGCCGACGGGGCATAGCTCCCATGCCTCGACAAAATCACTCTACCACATTGGTGTTTCACTTTCACTTTTTGTTGTTCCCGCTGCTGCCGTGCACAAGACACACGACGAACTTGCAGCAGTTTCACTCTTTGTCGTTCCCGCTGCTGCTGCACGAAAAGGCACACACACACGCACGCGCACCTGAACATCCTGGGCTTGGGGTTTCCCTCCTGCGGGTTGGGCGTCACGCTCCCGACCTCAACGAACCCGAACCCCGTGTCCATGAGACCGTCCACCGCCTCCCCGTGCTTGTCGAAACCCGCCGCCAGCCCGATGGGGTTCGGGAACCGCAGGCCCATCACGTGGGACGCCAGGATTGGGTCATCCATCGTCCAGTCCTGTACGGCACGGTTATGATGAAAGAAAGCGTATCGTCGGTGGATTTATTTTTCTCTTATCGGATAAGACGAAGAGAATTATTGATGGGCATGTCAAAAGTGGGCGCGTTTTAGCCGGCGGATTTATTTTTCTCTTTAACGTGGTATCGGGCAAGAAGACCAAGATTATACAAACAGTCGTGCCTCACTCAGACTCCAAAATCAAGCAAACTCGTCGGTTAAGGGCACCGCTTTTCACAGGCATGGTGGCTCGCAGAATGTACAAGGTAAGGAGGGGCATCAACCTTAAGGACACTTCCCCGGCTTAAGGACACCTTTTTTAGCAAAAAAACAGGGGTGTCCTTCACGGAGGTTCGACTGTACTTTTGTACCATGCCCCTCAACAACGGGAAGAGAATTTTCCGAGAAAAAGATTCCTTAAATCACAGAAACAACACCCGTTCGAGCTTAATAACTACAGCCGAAGGAGGTATGTTGGGTTCACAAAGAGTGGGAGAAAAACAAATCTCGGTAACCACAGGGTTGGAAACACGCGTCTTGCCTTGGGTGCAAGTCCGAGAGACGCCGCCTTGACCGCGATCGTGTGTGCCTCCTCGGCGTCCAGCATTCGCAGCAGAGGCATCACGACGGAGTCGCAGAGCGTTGCGTAGCCGGAGCGCGCCTGAGTAAGGTTTTGTTTTTTTTGGACCGGCATTGGAGACACGACGAAGGGGGGGTGGGCAGAGACCAGCGAAACGGGATCACGGAGAGTAGAGGGAGGTAGTAGAGAGAGAGAGAGAAAGAGAGAGAGAGAGAGAGAGCGAGAGAGAGAGAGAGAGAGAGAGAGAGAGAGAGAGAGAGAGAGAGAGATAACATAAAATATGTTACATAACACGACTAGGCGAATGCAAAACAGACACGTGATACAAGATATTTCATTTCATAAACGAAGAAGTCCGTGCTTCACAAGAAGTCAAGCCACGGAAAGAGGGGTGCTCAGTCGCAAACCACAAAACAATCCTTCATCGGGCCCACGCAACTAGCAATGTCCGCAGCGGCAGCAAGAGTAGCAACAAAGTACGAACCAAGCAGCAATGCCAGCAGCAGCATACGTGTCCAAAGCTATGCACATGGTACGACTGGCTAGAAAATACTTCAGCCAAAAAAAAAATACCCTTCCACAGGGCGAAAACATCAACTTGCCTTGTCCGGGCGCAGGTGTGCGAACGCCGCTCCCGCTGCGAATCCGGTACCGGCGAAGAAGAACGCCTGCGGGGGTAAAATAGCGACACCGTCAGAAAGTGCACAGAAGATAATAGTCAGTACTCCAGGTATCCTTCACATGTAACCGTTGCTACTGGAGCAATTTTTCAAGCGAGAAGTTGGCAAGCATTTTGAGAGAAAAAATACCCCTGGTAGGGGTTTGCGATTTCGAGAGAGAGCTTGACAAAAAAGAAAGTGATACTAGAAAAAAAGAAGATAATTGCCGGAGAGAAATGCGGACACAAGACGCAGAACGGGGGTTCCTTTGTTTAAAATTGTGTTGGGGGGTATGGAAACAAGATGCTTCGAATGGGCCCTCATCGGAACACAACTGCGCTGCCGGTGATTGAACACAACAGAACAACCTGAAGGCAATCGCAGTCGAGAGGACCCGCTTTGCTTCCCATCAGCATCAAACAAAACGTTCTCCCCAGAACACGAGGGTGCATCGTTGGGTTCAAGGTTGAGATAATACCTGGATGCATTGTTCATGCCAGATTTCTACATGGAGGTGGCCACAACAGCAGCAACTTTGCAACGCGCCCAGCTTCCGCATCATCAATCAACACCGTCCGCCCGCAGCAACTCGCGCCCTCGCCGAAGCATTGAGGTGCTTGTTCATGTATTGTTGGTCGTCACAGCGACGTGCACTCATGGAGAAGCAAACATGGACGATGTGCTCACGAATGGCAACTAACGCGTGTGAACACCGGGCGCGATTGCGCTTCCCCGCCCGGTTTCTCGGCGACAGGGTAGGGTCCCCACAGACGATAACATATCTCTGCGGAGTCTCACTCCCAGGCACAGCAGTACATGGATGCCCTTCGTCTGCTCTGGCTAGAACCAAGCACGCAACAAGCGCTCGCCAACGGCTTCCTGCAAAACCTACCTCTCCCTGTTGTGTGTGTTGCCTCTGTCCCTGTGGACGGCGGGTGTGCGAAAATTTCCCTCTGCCATGTCTGAAGACTCCTTAGAGTTCGTTCTTCGTTCTTGCTCCATGGTAAATACTCTGTTTGTACGTACTCTTTGGGTGCCTATTTATGAGTTGAGACATACAAGTGCTCATCGAACTGAGTTTTTCCGAGTTCCATCAGGCCCTGTTCGTGTTTCGTTGTTGGGGGTTAAGCCCCTTCCTCGTACACCCCTTCAGGGGAGGAAAATAAGCCCGACACGCCTAGAATGCTTAGATACCACCTGATTTGAGAACAACCGGGTCGCTTCTGTGCGGTACGAGGTACTGCTGTGTACGCAAATATAGATACTTGTATACCGCCCGTACGACGGGGTCTGACTTGGGACACCTGCTGGAAACATGCTTCACAAGTTCAAGTTCGAAGCCAATTTTCAATTTTTCCGCACGTTGGGAACAAGAAAACTTGTATGCATAAATACACCTATGTCTCCGCAATGCACAGAAGCAATCACACCGGAGAAGAGGTGAACATCGTGCCTAACAATATAACGGCAGGCACACACACGGTTGCCTCCGATGTTCTTTGATTTGCACATGACAGGGAGGATGACGCACATCCCACTATTCTACCATGGATACAGCAGCTGCGGCAAGTTCAACACACAGTCAGAAAACCAAGACCCGGCAGGGAGCCGTCTTGCGTGCATTGGTCGACGCCCGCCCTAGCTGCACCTCTTCTGCTGGTGCGGCTCTATATGCCACGAGCAGGCCAGCTGCTATTCTGCAACAACCTCGGCTCCCAGCACAATACTCCGCAACAACAGCAGGAGGCACGTCGTCGTGTGTACGGAGCAACATGTGCAACTTTCACCTTTGGCTACGCGCCCGATTCATTGGCCCCTGCTCCAAACAACATCAAGCTTATGCCTCTCTTGTTGTCACCTTGTAAGCACCTCGGCCCCGAGATCCTCCCCCGCCATCAGAGGGCGCAGCTCCTGCTGCAGGTGGTGTTGTGGGGCTCGTGCTTGAGCTTGCTTTTCTGCCGATCGGCCGTCCGCCCGCAGCAACTCGCGCCCTCGCCGAAGACACCCCGGACCAGCCGGACGGCGAACGAACGGCCCTTCCCACCACATAATTCAACATGGTGATCGCGAAGTGCAGCTGGCACGTCGTGTGTGGCAGCCGCCTCTCCTGCAGCAGCTAAACGGGGTGTATGTCACACCTCTTGCTGTTGTAAACCACATGTTACACCCAAAATAGGGGGCGCGCGGATGATATGGAGGTATGTGTAGTATTTCGCGGAGCCCCTACGACAAGAGGAGATCCACCCGCCGCCGCCGCTGCTGTGCAGCTGTGTGCACGACCGCGAGACCATTCCACACGCTCGCACCGCACACTCCACGCAGGCGGAGGAAAACATGAAGGTCATCGGGAGGAAGAGCATGCGCTGTGTAATGGCCGCGCTGGGGCTGCTGGTACTCTCGATAGGTCCCATCTCGCCCAAGGTGAGGTGACTGGAATTTTGGTCTGCGGCTTTGCACTCTGCACACACATATGGAGAGAGCCGTTTTCCTTCGTTGTGGTTATGCTGCCGTTTGTTCCGTTCTGCAGGCCGGGTAGCCGCCAGTCATTGATCGAGAGTTGGAGTTGGATAGCTGTTGCTACAGCAGTGGTCATAGTGGCATGCCACTCGGGCGATGCCTGCTTCATGATACGAGGTTGTTCGTTGCGCGCGTGAATATTCCGCTTTGAAGACGTCCGCTGCGCGTCTGTTGCTCATTGGTCAACGAAGTTTGGAGAGAACCTGTACTTGCAAATAACTACAGTCTACAGAGTAGATATAGATATAGAAATAGATACCGGGGGTAAAGCTTCTGCCGCGAACGAATGCTCGCTGCTTTAGGCAGCTTTAGGCAGTGAACGTATGTTGCCAAAGCAGAAACGAATCCCGTTTGTTCTTGGTACACAGCAGACTGCAGTGTACGGTAGGTTGCAGAAGATACCACACCCCCTGGACCGATCTCTACGTTACGCCCGATCTCTCTACATTGTACGGACAAAGGAGGATACCAACATCAAATGATGTGTGTTCGGAAAGATCTCGACCAGACGTTTCCAACGCCGTCATTGCCGGCACCGCCACTGGTTTTGCTGCAGAGTATTGGAGCTGTGGTAGACATCTACCATGCCACCTGCACGGTGTAGGCCGATGTAGGACGCCGCAAAGCGTCGTCTTCGCTCCGAGACCAATAGCCTGACCTTCCAGCGGGTAGAAATACGCTTGTTCGTTACGATTCAGTCGATGCAGCTGCTTGAGTTACACCAGGCTGTTGTGCTTATTGGGTACCCGCGAGCTTTTGTTACTTTGGTACATGCCATACTTCGTACTCCGTACAAGGTTTCCCTGCGGGATGTCAGTTACGGGCATCCGGCACAGGGTGATCTTTTCAATTTCCCAGGGGGGTGATGGCAACAGTTTCATGTACACGTATTTGGATTCCTTTGCCTCTAGTTGAAAAGGCGTTGGGTGTACACGTCGTAATCAGACACAGAGGTTTCCAAGCGAGGAACTAAACCAAATTACCGTTGCCGCAGCAATTTGAGCCCTGGCGTGTGCCGGCAGCTGCGGTCGACCTGCCTCAGCATCTCTGTTAGTACGCCCACGTTCTCTTGGTCTCTTCTGTTGTGCCGTTTTTTGGAGGATTCATGTGTGTTTGACTGCTCAAGTTCGACTGCTGCTGCTGCCGGCATACTCCGCTTTCTTTGTGTTTCGCGTGGTTTAAGCCAAACTCTGGGACCTAAAGAAGTATTTTTTGGATTTTTTTGTGTCAACGCAATGCAATCGCCAGAGTTCAAAAGCAGAAATCGCGATGCAATCGAGAGCATCATCTCGAAGATCGAGGCCAACATAGCAGGCGACAGCAAGTCAGGAAGATACCGACAGATGCTCCTTCGCTCTTATTCCCTTGTTATGCAGCCCCGACTTTCGTGCTTCCCGGCAATCTACCTACTTGTAAGCATTTCCGATGCGCCGGCTCTGACCTCTTCAGCATGGACTATGTGTCCACCCTCTGTGTTCTGCCGTCCTGACGGGCAGATGACTTGATTTTGAGCCTCACTTCAGCATTTCTCATGTATTTTGCGCCAACCCTCGCTCCTTATTTGGTCAGTGAGGAAACCAACAGGAATTTGACGCTCCAACCTCTAACCCCCCATCACAACATTGGGGACGTTTTTTGACCCGATCATCCGGCCGCCAATCAAGGGTTCCTTCGTGACTGCCGAGGCAGCAGATGGCGCTGCCGCCGCCGCCGCCGAGATTCCCCAAGAACCAAAGGTGGACGCCGACGAGGACGGAATGGGGGGGGCGGAGGGAGAAGAGGAGCCGGCCATCCCGGGGGCGACCGTCCAGGTGCTGACGGACGGCGACTTCGAGAGGATTACGCAGGCGTCGACGGGGGCCACGACCGGCGACTGGTTCGTCGGTGAGAGAGAAAGAAGCGGCAGCAAAGCGAAGCTCAAGTTTGAGTTGCTCGTCCACAATCACGGGCTGATGGGATGGGTTTTTGTTTGTCTTGGCTGCAGGGCTTGGTTCTGCTGTGTTGAAGAATGGCATATGGCGGCTTTCCATGGCGCATGCAGCCAAGGGTTTCCCGCCGTGGAGTAGTTGCCGCCCCCCGCGACACTGCGGTCTCCCCCTCCCGTACTCATGTTCATTGTCGGTGGTGTAGAATATCTCGCGTGTTTGCCTGCTGTACGAATCTGAAAACGTTTGCAATGTCTTGCGATGCCTACGCCGCTGATTTCTGCCACGCACGTGCTCGGGGTGGCGTCGGTGGTGGTCGGACTACCGATGCTTCTGCTACCGCTGCTGCTGCTGCTGCTGCTGCTGCTGCTGCTGCTGCTGCTGCGTGTGCTGCTGCTGCTACGTGTGCTGCTGCTGCTGCGTGTGCTGCTGATGCCGTGGATGTGCAGAATTTTACGCGCCGTGGTGTGGTGAGAGAAGTGTTCTTTGTCTCGTGGCCATTATTGTCGTTTGAGTTATGAGGTACCATGGTATTTTGCCACCAGTACCCGTGGTGTGCCTCCATTCCCCCATGAGCCTTTCTTCAGCGGTTTTGGTTTCGGAACTTTGTCCGTCACATCCAAGTCTCGTAGGAATACAACGAACACTATTTAGTCCAACCAACACAGGGTCCTGAACACTCGCGGCTTGCACACGCCAGGCAATGAGATGAGAACGTCGCGACTCAACCCGATAGGCTACGGAAGTATGTTTGGTGTCGATGAAAAACGCCGTCTATCTCGAGTGGCTCCCGCTCGTTCGGCTCTGACTATTTTTTAACCCTACTTGAATCTCTTGACCGCGCTTATTTCTGCCGTGTCCGCCGCTGACTTGACCGCCGCTGTTGCTTCCCCGTAGGACACTGCCGAAAGCTGGACGGCACGTGGACAGAGCTTGCGGAGAAGCTTGGGGTGAGTTCGTGCCAGCAGCACTCTTGGTTCTTGCCCGCGAGGTTCATCTCGACCTCTCGGACGGATGAAGGATGAAAACCAACCTTGTGTTTTGTTTTTTGTTATTATTGTTGTGGCCTACCACAACGGTGTCCAGCCCGATGTCCGACCTTTCAAGACTACGGAATTGAACAGGATAGGAGACTCCCCCTGCGCGACAGAATCGACGCAGTAAAGCTACTGCTGTGGTAGACACATGCACGGCATGCTCTCTGAGACTCAAGCCACTGCTGTTCGAGTCGATAGCCACTGCTGTTCGAGTCGATACTCGATCGTGAGGCGTTCTCTCGTACATCTTGGAAGCCCCGGGAATGCTCGATCGTGAGGCGTTCGTGCGTACGAAGAACCCGCTGGGAGTTATGAAGTAGGGCTTCACCACGGATCGAATGGAGCAAGGGTTCGCTGGTGGTTTGGGCCACCAATGGGAGCATAGTGTTTATCCCCGCACCAAGAGAGAAACGATTTTCACGGCGGCGGTGGGCTGGAGGTACCGGAACGCGGTTTGCCAACACGGGCTTCAACAAGTGTCATGTTACTGAAAATTCGCAGTATTTGATAAGGGGTTCCGAAAATGGTTGTGGTCCCCCAACAAGAAGCTGCCCCCGGCCTGTGTACCCCGTTTTTGCCGTGTGCGTGCGCTCACAAACAGGGCGAAGTGAACGTGGGCAAGGTGGATGCGACGGCGAACAGGGGGTTGGTGAAGCGGTTCGGCGTCAAGGTGATGAATCACTCCCGGTGACCCCGGTCGCTCCGTTTGCTGTCACTATTTTATTTTGTCTATAGCCGAGTCTTGGAAGTCCTTCGGATGAATTTTTGCTCACCAGACGGCGACAGTGACAGTGGTCGTGTGGTGCGTTATTGTTGCAAGCGCTTTTGTTCGTTTTCTGTTTTGTGAGTGACACCGTAGCAATGGTGTGTTCTTTCCGCTGCTGTCAAATTGTTGATGCAGAGCGCTCGTTTTTCTTGTATTTCATGACTCTTTCACGTGCTGTTGACATGTCGGCAAGCCTGAATGTTTTTTTGACGAACAGCGGGGATGACTGGTAGGATGATGGTCACTCGAAGCTGGAGTGCTCATTCGAACTATTTGACAGAGTCGTGTGGGCCGAAACCATACGGAGGTAGGGCCAAGTGTTCGCGGAAGCTGGCTGGCCTTTCCCGTGTTGTGAAAGAGACACCTCAAAAAGATAAGTTGTTTGTTGTCGTGGATACATGTGCTCTTGCGTCTACCTTTCCATCATCCACGTCCGTTCTGCCGCAGGAACTCTACTCGAATTTCTTACAGCTGAGTGTCCACCACCCACCTCCACCATGCTGCATGTTATTCCATCGAAGTTATCCCGGCACAGTGGGGGTCCCTCAATAGTGCCACTGCCCGGTATAGTGCCGGTGAAATAGCGTGGCACGGCTGGAATGTCAAAGTTGCCACCCTTCTCTGTATGGAGCCGGGTGCTCGGTATAATTCCAGTTAACCTGACGGGCACATACGGGCACCACACCTCAGTATTATTTGGTTCCGTTCGTTCGCGGCACCGCGAAAACGCGACGAATTGTGTCGCCTCGAGGTTCAAATGTATAACCCGCATTTTGCTTGACCCGTGACTCTCCCCACGCCGTCCGCACAGGGCTTCCCGACGCTTTTGTTCTTCTCGCATGGGAACCTCCACAAGTTCGCTGGCCCTCGCAAGCTCGATTCCTTCATCGAATTTGCCAAGG